CGGACCCTGTGTTTGCTAAGCTTGTTCTAAGTAGGTGCTTTAGACCACTGAGCCATCTCACTAGCTCAATGACAAATAATTTAGATCAATATTTTTTTGAAACCCACAAAACAGTGAGTCCATGAAAGTTGAACCGTGAAATAGCAAGGGATTACTGTGACCACAAAGCTGGGTAAGAGGCACAGGGCTGTAATTCAGCACTCCAGAGGCTGAGGCAGTATCACCAGGTGGTTTGAGGCCAGCCAGGACTATGTAGTTATAGTGAGTTCAAGGCCAGCATGAATGACATAGTGAGTTGCTGCTTTTAAAAAGGCAGGGAAAAAAGGTGTACATTTAGGTCAAACCATGAAATGTGTTTTTTGTCTAACAACTGGGAAATTTGAAGATGGGCTAGATAATAAGTGATAACACTAAAGAATTCTTTTCCATTTTCTTAGATCAATGACATTCTGATTATAGAGGAAAATATTCAGTTTTTAAAAGAAGAAAAGGTGCAGGCAAAAAATAATGTCATGTTATTTGGCAGTTGTTTTATAATCATCTTGAAAAACAAGGGCCCAGAAAAAGAAATGGGATGAATCTAATCATTCAATGCAGAAAACAAGGTTTGTTTTTGACACAGGGTCTCACTATGTAGTCAAGGCTGGGCATGAATGCCAGGGGAACAGATGTGCGCCCCCACATCCAGCTTCTGGGTTTGCCTCCTAGATGGCTGGGGTTTCCATCACTGATTAAAAGATTTCTGAGCACTGGGTCCCACGAGAACGTTCGATGAGTCCTCTGTTCATCTTGGATGAAAATGGGTACAGGCTACGCTAACGCACTTGAAAGACCTCAGAGCTTCCACATGATCGAGCCCACAGAACAGGCTTCATGTCTGTCTTGCAGCCTGCCTGCGATAACTACCTTCATGTGCATCAGAAGACAAAAGGTGAACAGGTCAGAAATACAGCAAGAGAGAAAGGAAAACAGAAACACAGATGTCCCAGAGAAGGGAAAGGAAGCCACGGGTCAGCAGAGTGGAGACCACACAGCGGGCAGCAGGACGGGGAGCTGACGTACACACAGGACCCCGGGGCACCAAGAAGGCGATCATGGCGGCAGGGCAGAGGTGAGGCACAGCTGGGTGCACGACCTCCAGGACAGTGTCAGAAGACAGGCAAGGATCGCGGGAGCACACAGGCAGGTGTGCGCCCCTGGGTGACTGACAAGCATGTTTGCTCAGAAAAATGTTCAGAGTTCTCAGCCCGCCAGCACACGTCCTGTAACCCAGGTGTCACCCCGGGGTGACAAACACTCACCTGGCCTTGTGCACTTTCAGCTTATCCCTCTTGAGCTGCTCATATATCGCAGGGATCATCATTGCTGCTCGGAGCTTCCGGCGGCTGAGTTTGCAAAGGTACCGTGGGTACTTCGTCATGCATTTTGAGTTTCTTATCATCATCTGCCTCAGCAGCTTTGTATTCGAAGGAAAGGGCAGCACTGTGGGGAGACAGACACACACTGAGTCAGCCACCTCCTGTTCCTACATCACATCCCGCCAGTGATGTGTTCTGAGCCTGGCCTTTGCCCAGTCTATGCCCTGAATCTGAAAGGCAAGAGGCTAAACATCGGTCAGTAGGGTCGGCTCCTTCACACAGGAGAGGCAGACAGGGTGGAAGACGGGAGGTAATACCTTGATTGCAGAGCTGACCCGCGAGGTGATCGAGGGCATCGTGGGCATTAAGGAATCTGAAGGGCAACTGCCGACTGTGGATCACCGACTTCTGCAGCACAAGGGAGGGTCCTGAGCACAGCACCAGGGAGGGTGGAGCTCCCAGGGCAGGGACCTTCAGGGAGGGTGGGGCTCCCAGAGCAGGGACCATGAAGGTCCC